AAAAAAAAAAAAAAAAAAAAAAAAAACAGCCACCAGGAGCCAGGCAGTGGTGGCACATGCCTTTAATTCCAGCACTGGGGAGGTAGAGACAAGCAGATCTGTGAGTTCAACGCCAGCTTGGTCTACAGAGTAAGTTCCAGGACAGTCAGGAAACCTTGTCTCGAAAAAACAACCACAAGAGTCAGAATTGCCATGAGCATCTGGATAGGGCCAATGAGGAAATATAACCCTAACTTAGACCAGGGCTGCTATTGGCCTTGAACTTAGAGCTACATTGAGGAGGAGCTTGCACTGAGTTGATCGATAAACAGTTTTATATTGCTATTGGGTAGGGAATGGAGTAAGATTAAACTTGATTTAGGGCTGAGCATGTACCAGCTCTAGAAAGGGAGAAATAATCTGAGTTTTGTCTCAGGTTAGATCTGGGGTTGGGATTACATCACACCTAATGAGGGGTACATAGCAGAGCAATGCTGGACTCTGGTACCCAGCCGCCTGAGTTGGAATCCTAGCCATGATGCTTCCCAGCTGTGTGATCTTGGGCAAGTTATTTAACTTTCTATGCCTCTGTTTGCTTATCTGTAAAACTAAGAACAAATCAGAGTCTATCTCATAGAATGTGCATAAGAAGTAAATGAGTTGAGCTTGGCAAAGCGCTTCCTGTGGCGTATGACACAGAATAGAACCACTTCAGTCTTTGTTATATAAATAAACAATGGCCACATTCCATGTCCATACCGGAGACCGCAAATATCCAGACTGGTTTCAGCAATCATCCCTGGTTAGGGAACCTGCCCACAAATGACTTGCCTGACTCCCTCCCCCAGTTCAGCTGGGCCATGCTGTAGGAGCTGGGTTGTTAGCAGGTGTGCGTTCTGGGATGTTTTACCAGCTGATGTCATTGTCACTGTGAGTCTATTTGCAGCAGAGAGGTGTCAGGTCAAGGTTAAACCAGGTCCTGAGGCCATTGCCTATTTGTGCAGGGCCTCTAACACATCCAAGAAGGCAGGGTATTAGTCCAGTAGATTGTCCTAAAGAAGCCCAAGCCCAAGGCCACTTTTCCATCTGAGCACACAGGGAACCCTTCATGAATCTTAAGTCATCTCACTTGGCACCTAAATGCTAAGGTCTTGAGAAAAAGTGTTTAGCTCAGGAGGAAGACTGGGCCAACTGCTTGCCCCACCAGCCTGGCAGAACACCCAGAGTCCAGAGGGAGAGAAAGTAAGTGAGTGGGGGCCTTGCTCTTAATGGGGCCAATGAGACAGAGTCCAAGGATGGAATTCACTGTTCTAGGGCTGGCAGGAGCTGAGAGAGAGAGACAGAGAGAGAGAGAGAGAGAGAGAGAGAGAGAGTGAATAGCCGGCTGTGGAGCTCAGGAGAGCACTCCCCCTGGCCCCTGCTGTGTGGATTTGTCATCTGCTTCAGAGCTTTGTCCCCAGTAAGAACTCCATGCCACCAGGTCTCACATTCCTCTGTGAGTGAGTGTCTTTTGCTTCAGGGTAACCTTGGGACATGGGGGTGGCTGGCAATGGTGTTTTTCCTACAGGAACCTCACTGTGCTGTCCTGAGGACACTAGATGACTCCTCGTTCTGACTCCAGGTCCCCACCCTTTGACTAAAAGTCTTTGTATATAAGTCTCGCTCACCAAGCTAGGGCCCGTATCACTACTTCATCACCCTTGCTTCTCTGCCCAATCTCTCCCTCTCCTTGGCCTTTCTTCATTTTACCTTGTCTCTCAGCCTCAGATTTTCCTACCACTCCTCATCTGGAATTCTGATTCCTTCCCCTGTAAAAAGCTAGGTTTCTCTGCATCTTCAAAGACCATAAGCCTGATACAACCTTTCATACTCTTTCCCCACTGACCATTAAAAAGTTTAGCACCGAGCCGGGCGGTGGTGGCGCACGCCTTTAATCCCAGCACTCGGGAGGCAGAGGCAGGCGGATCTCTGTGAGTTCGAGACCAGCCTGGTCTACAAGAGCTAGTTCCAGGACAGGCTCCAAAACCACAGAGAAACCCTGTCTCAAAAAAACCAAAAAAAAAAAAAAAGCTTAGCACCAAGCCTGGATGGATACGGGATCCCTGTATGTCAGCCCTCAGGCCCTTCGACAACTGAAACATCCTCACACATTTTCTCTCAGAGAAGCCCAGATGTTATCTCCATGGAAACCTCGTGAGCCAAAACCCTTCATCTCCAAGACTAGCTTCCTGTCTCTGTTCACTTGAAACAGCCAAGGCCTTGGAAGGCACCTGGCTGATAGACCATGACCTGTGCCCCCTTCATTCCTGGTGTGGCTCACACTTGGGTACCCAAGTCTGAAAATGCTGGATGCTAGGATAGAACTAACAGGAGTGTTGTTTTTTAACAAAATTTCAATCATTCGATTTTTTTTTATCAATAAAGACTCGGCAGCCAGATGTTGGAGTGAAAGCCTACTAGCTCGTAGAAGCAGATAAACTACCCGGCTGACCTTCCTCCTCCATCAACATGCCAGAAGCCTTCCCTTTTCTTCTATTTCATCTCAAACAAGACTTCTTACACTGAACTGGCTCCCAGTCTTTATTGATAAAAACAAACGATTGAGATTTTGGTTAAAACAACACAGGAGCAGAGACTCGCCCCTACCTTCTGGTGTCTCTCCACTGTTCTCTCTCTTCCCATCCATCTACAGCAGAAGCTAACCATTGTTTTCACCCAAGGCAGTCCAGAGCTGCCTGCACCTCTGAAACCGCTAAAACCGTGCCCTCAGGGACGTCCTGCAAGGACCAGATGTCTCCTGTGCCATCTTCTCCTGGGGTTGGCATGTCCCAACCCTCTGGTCACCCTTCCACACTGGTGAGTCCCACACGCCCTCCTACACCCCTACAGTGACCAGACCTGAGGTAAGGTCCCTCCCGTGCCTACCTACCCTTCCCTCTTCTCTCCCTCTCCGGCCCCAGGACCCAGGCAGAGCAGAATCCTCAAAGAGGAGCCTGTAGTGTCATGGGAACAGCTTTTCTCATCCATGGCCTTTCTGTTTAGGAATCACATTTAGGGTCCCCATGTGCACACCTGGATGGGGAATGACACCAAAAGTCAGCTCCTCCTGGAAATATTCATGCTAAAACCCTGACAAGTTCCAAGGAGCTGAGCCCTTGCTCGTAAGCTTGCTTGGGCCTCCTGCTCTGATCCTGTAGATAGTCTGCGGCAGGAACACCCTGGGAGGGTGGAACTGCAGGAACTCTGACTCTCCTGGGGCAAAGGAGGATGCTGCCCACACCCCTCAGCTCAGCCCCCTCCCTTGCCCTCCTCCTTACCACCCACTAATCACTAATTAACACAGCAGCAACAGCTCTTTGCACAGTTTCCGAACAGGAAAGCGCTCCTTTCCTTTTCCAGCGCCCGCCTCCTTTCCCGCACCACCTGTGCGTGCAGGGCACATCCCTTCTCTTTACTATTTAGCTCCCCTAACCGGGGTGAGGGGGGCTATTCCTCTAATCATTTGTGTAGTCCCAAGTGGGACAGGCCCCACTGCTGAGTCAGGGACTTAGGTTTCCTCCCGAGATCACTTATCACCAGGCAGCAGAGGAGGGAGTGACCCTAGACAACCAGGCAACCCCAACTCAGCAACCTCCTTCCCTTTTACACCATGCAATGGCCGTGGGAAAATAAAACCTGGGCCAAGTATAAAGTCTGGTTATCCCAGTGATGGTAGAAGTGGTCCCCGAAGGCTTCAGCTCTGCAGTTCCTCCACATCACCAGCCGACTTCAGAGACACAGATCCCAGAACCTCAACCCAGGACAGGTCAAAGTGGCCCAACGAGTGAGGACACCATTTAACCTCTGTCAAGTGCCCAGGCGCTCTATCCATCCGACTCCCATGCACACCAGAGCATGACTTACCAGCCCAGGCCAAACCACAGAGCATGGCCACTATCAGGGAGACGCAGGCCTTCATGATGCCAGCTGCGGCAAACTCACCGCTGGACTTCCCACTACAATCAAGGTGAATGTCACAGTCCTCAGATGAGCCTTAGTCCCCAGGCAGATCCTTTTAAAGACACCAGGACTTGTGGATCTGGTGTGTCTAGATCCTTCCAGGAAGGAAAAGGGGAGGGAATGGATCACAGATGGACGGGAGGCGGAAAGGAGGTGGGGCTCCACAGCTGTTTGAAGCCAGAGAGAAGGTGACTAAGCAGACAGGTCACGTCAGATGTTTAAAACAGGTAATGCTGGCTATCTGTAGCTAGAAAATAGGCCACACTAGCAGACGCAGCAAGATGAGCCTAGTTTGGCAGGTTCTTTACTCAAGTTAGGGACATCGATGTGCTCATCTGCAGGTGACCTACACCTACCTACCCGCAGTCACAGACCTGGCCCACCTGGAACTGCAAGTCTAGACCCAAGCTGGGATTCAAGGGACTACTGCGGTCACATGGTTTCATCTCACATACATGTAGAAATCCCTTCCATGATGCCAAGTGCTTGTTGAACTTACACTTGAATGCCTTCACCGCTGGCAAGGTTGGGGCACATCCTCTTTGGACAGCTCACCTCCTCTCACAGATCTCATTCCCAACCCTTAGGACTTTTATGACCTAAGACGTGCTGGTAGAGATAAAAATGGATAAGGAATATTGGGGGTGGGATATCAAGTCCCTAAGGGAGCATTCATCAACCCATTCACGACTAGTGGAGGAACTTAGATTCGGTGCTGGCTAGTTTTTATGTCAACTTGACACAAGCTGAGGTCACCTGAAAAGAAGGACTCTTAATTAAGAAAATGTCACCCTAGGATTGGCCTGTAGGTGAGTCTGTAGGGCGTTTTTCTTGGTTGATGATTGAGGTGGGAGGGTCCTGCCCACTGTGGGCAGTGCCACACTTGGGAAAGTGGTCCTAGGTTGTATAAGAAAGCCGGCTGAAGCTGGGTGGTGGTAGCTCATGCCTTTAATCCCAGCACTCAGGAGGCAGAGACAGGTGAATCTCTGTAAGTTCAAGGCCAGCCTGGTCTATAGAGCAAGTTCCAAGTCAGGCTCTAAAGCTTCAGAGAAACCCTGTCTTGAAAGGAAAGAAAGAGAGAAAGAAAGAAAGAAAGAAAGAAAGAAAGAAAGAAAGAAAGAAAGAAAGAAAGAAAGAAAGAAAGAAAGAAAGAAAGAAAGAAAGAAAGAAAGAAAGAAAGAAAGAAAGAAAGAAAGGAAGGAAGGAAGGAAGGAAGGAAGGAAGGAAGGAAGGAAGGAAACAGACTGAAAAAGTCATGGAGAGCAAGCCAGTGAGCAGTGTTCCTCCATGGCTTCTGCTTCAGTTCCTACCTTCAGGTTCCTACTTGAGTTTCTGTCCTGACTTTCCTCAAAGATGAAACCTGAGAATCTTAAGATGAAATAAACCCTTCCCTCTTCAAGTTGCTTTTGGTTGTGGTGTTTTATCATAGCAATGGAAACCCTAACTAATCATATACAAGCATGCAGTAAAATCAGAACGTGTCTCCAACACTTTATCTGCTGGCCCATCTAGACACGAACCCAGTGTTCCTCGTCTTTGGCTCTCCTTTGAATCAATGCTAACGTAGGCTTCCATCTTGACGAGTTCTTTCCAGGGAGCCCTCATGGAAACTTTACAAGACTGGGATCCAAGTGGGGAAGGAACGCAGGAAGATGCACGATGAAGGGTGATGGGAAAAGGGGGCCCACAGAGATGCTGATGTCGAAGGTGGCAGACTGTGGCCTTTGTAGTTATGTGGAAGAGGAGGAAGAGGCTGAGTCTGCTAGGGCCAGTGCCAGGGGCCAGCCAGCTGTAGGGATGTGGGAAGTAGGTGTTCTGCCAAGTGATTTTTTTTAGATTTATTTATTTATTTATTGGTTTTTCGAGACAGGGTTTCTCTGTGGTTTTGGAGCCTGTCCTGGAACTAGCTCTTGTAGAACAGGCTGGTCTCTAACTCACAGAGATCTGCCTGCCTCTGCCTCCCGAGTGCTGGAATTAAAGGCGTGCGCCACCACCGCCCCTCGATATTTATTTATTTTTATCTTATATGCATTGGTGGTTTGCTATGAATGTCTGGTCCCCTGGAACTGGAGTTACAAACAGTTGTGAGCTGCCATGTGGGTGCTGGGAATTGACCCTCGGTCCTCTGGAAGAGCGGTCAGTGCTCTTAACCACTGAGCCATCTCTCCAGCCCCATGTACTTATTGAGCTGCCATTTTATGCTAAGAGCTATGCTGTAACTGGGTTTAGGCCTTAGAAAATTTTGTATCATCCATCGATCCATCTATCTATCTATCTATCTATCTATCTATCTATCTATCTATCTATCTATCTATCTCTGTCTCTCTCTGACTCTTTCTCTTTCTGTGTATGTGTGTGTATGTTTTTATGTATGAATGCTCACACATGCATGCCACAGTACACATGAGTAGGCAGAGGACAACTTGGGAGTTGGTTCTTGTCTAAGACAAGATCTCTATAGTTTCCCACTGTGTTCGCCAGGATGACCAGTCCATGAGTTTCCAGGAATTTCCCATCTGCATCACCTCCCAATATCCTCAGAGGAGTTCTGGAACTGCAAACTCAGGTACTATGCTTGGCCTTTACATGCATTCTGGGGATCCGAACTAAGGTTCTCGTTTCCACAGCAAGCCGTCCCCCCAGTCCATGGACTCAGGCCTTCCTGAAACTATTGATTTCTGCTGGTATAGAGGACACATGATCTCAGAAGTAGTTCCCTCGTCATTGGACTCATTGAACTAGCACTGGGAGCCACGGCCTGCCAGGATCAGAGAGCTGAGAGAGACTGGCTCCAGGAATATAAATGAGATACATGCACCTAGGTCTGCCTACTCCACCATGTTGGTCTTGTGAAACCAAGACCAAATAATGTCAACAGGGAGCAGAGCCTGGAAGAACTTTCAGCTGGCCCAGCTCCAGGAGATCTGGATTACATTTTTAAGGACACTCCAGATTCAGCTTCCAAAGGGTTCCAAATACCTAAAGATGCTGGCTGTCTAAGCTGCAGCCCGAGAGTGCCCTGGCCCTAGAGGAAGGCCCAGCACAGCCATCCACATCTGGTCTCACCATGGCTCACAACTGGGCACATGTGGTTTCTCTCCTACAGCAGTTTGAATGTTACACAGCACACTCGGCTTCCCACTTTTCCCTTTGAAGTTTGGGGGCAGCCTTATTTTCCGCAGCAGGCTTATTGCCTGGGCACACAGTCCTGGGCTGTGCATGCGGTTCAACCAACCACACCCACGACTGACCTCTGCCTAAAACGCCCTCTGCTCACTGGCTGTCCATCTACCACTCATCCTCCAGTCTCCAGGAACTCTCCCACCACAGACTCTGTCCCAGATACCATCCCATGCCTTTAACACACCCTAGTCCCCTCTTCCAGGTACCAGTTAACCTTTGCAGTACCACTTAACTCTTTACCCACCCAACTGTTTCTGAAGCTCATCTCTGAAAGTCCTTCAGATGGGACTCCCACTTCTTCTCGGCTGTTGTATTAGAGAACTGTCAATACGTGTCTGGAATTAACATAAGAACTCAGGAGGTGGCTGGGCCACCTTCCACCTTGACCCTTGTCACTAAGGACTTGAAGTAAGACCCTGGTAAAACAGAGGCAGCAGATGGATTGTCCTGTGCCGTGAATTCGACAGTTTGTCCTGGAAAGGATTAGGTGGAAGTGGGGTCCAGGGATCCATGCCCAAGTTGTATTTTTATAAAAGAAAGAATTGCTTTTTGCTATTATGTGTACATTTGTGTCTTTGTTTGTTTTTGACAGTCTCTTGTAGCCCAGGCTGACCTTGAACTCACTATGAAGTCAAGGGTGACCTTGAATTCCTGATCTCCCAAGTGCTGGGTTATACTTGCCAGGTAAGGGCCTCCTGGCATATGTATTTATGACCAATGGAAACTGTGGGTGGGATCTAAACTCTCAAGAACCCCCTCCACACACACTGCCCCCCACTGTGGCTGGGTTGTGATGTGTCCCTCGAGGGCTTGTGGTTTGGAGGTTTCTTCCAGGTGTGTTGATGGGGAGGTGGGGGGCCTTTGAGAGGTAGAGCATGGGAGGTCACTGGGATGATGTCAGCTGTCGGCAGAAGGGACTAGGGAGTTCCCAGAGGACCCCCACGATTATTCTCCCTAGGGGGCTGTGATGCAGAAGGCAAGCACGGCCTTTCCTCCTCATCTAGAACACAGGTATCTGGTTCTTACAAGCACTTCCTTATGGTGCCACCGGGTCCTCCCCAAAGACTGAAACAACGGAACCACTCCATCTTGCACGTCTAGCCTCCATAGCATGCCTAAAATCCCAGTACTCTGGAGGGTGAGGCAAGAAAATATACATATCAAGATGAATGTTTGTTAAACGATTCATAGCAAAACCAACAACAACAGCAAAAAAAAAATTTCACTTTTTTTCTTTATAAACATATCCATTGTCCAGTGCTTTGCTGGAGCAGCATCAAACCAACACACCACCAGGGCATTAGTTTTGGCACTATGACTTCAAGGAGTGGTCAACACAGGGACAGACAGAACCCAGGATTCTATTGGCTTCTAAATTTATGACATAGCTTCGTACTCTTTTGGGTTCCAGAGTAATGACTTGAAACACTTGCAGAATGGTAAGCAACTGTGCCAATGTTTTTTTTTCTGCTCCTCAACAGTGATGATGAAGTAAAATTACTATTGCAGGCTCCACCCGCTTTGGAAAGCACCTAGGCTCAGCAACATACAAAGACGTGGATGGGCCTGGCAGACAGAGATAAGGAGCCTCCAGGAGCCAGCAGGGCTGTGAGCAAAGGTGAGACAAAGAGAGAAACAGACGTGCCCTAGGCTGACCAGGAGCCAGGTGCTGGCAGGAGGCACCTCACCAGCTTCTTGCCCCAGGTGTGTTGGCACAGTAGACCTGCTCTGGCTTCTTAAGGATGGTGACGGTACACAGGACTGGCAGGAGCGGTTCCTGACCCACACATGAAGACTCACTCTGTTAAAATGACCGTGGTTATTGTGCTAGGGAGTCAGGTTATGAGGAATCTCGCCTCTCTCACGGATTCATTCATTCATTCATTCATTCATTCATTCATTCATTCATGCTCCTCGCAGATGGTAAGAACAAAGTGTCACTGTGCCAGACGTGACAGCACAGCGGCTATAGTGAGCTAGCTGGCATCTGAGAGATGGAGGACACTGGGAAATCACACCTGAAGCTCTGGTTTGAACCACTGGGGCACAGTGCGAGGACACTGGTCCCGAAGCTGAAACATCTCTGTGATCCCAGCTCTGCCGCCTTTCACCGCCTTGTCCAATCCTGCGCAGCTTTCCTGATCTTCCCATCCTCAGTTTCCCTTACAGATACAAAATAAAGGAAGCAAGAGACCCTGGCAAGGCTGCCATCGGACTGAGGGACTTCATATTTGAACCTGTAGAACAGTGCCTCGTGTGTAACAAAACTAGGTTAGGTAAAATTAAAGAATAAAGTAGGGGCCAGGGATGAAGCTCGGTAGGCACATGAGTCCTAGAGCCCGCCCTAAGCACTTTTTAAGCTGAGTGCCTGTGAGCCCAGCACTCCGGAGGCAGCGGCAGGAGAATCAGAAGTTCTTAGTGGAAGTGAGAGGGGAACAAGACCAGGAAATGGGGGTGATTATGATTTAAAAAAAAAACATTTCAAATATATGAATGAAAATGCCACAATGAAACCAATTGTGTATGATTAATGTATGCTAAGAAAAATGTAAAAAAAAAAAAGTGCTTAGTGATCTTGCAAAGGACCTGGGCTTGGTGCGGGGTCCTCACAACTGCCCATGACTCACCCCAGTTCCAGGGGATCTGATGCCCTCTTCTGACCTCCATGAGTTCCTCTGGGCACAAAGCTCACACAAGTGGATGTATATACAAATAATAAACACACAAACAAATCAATCCTTAAAAGAAATTTGAAATCATCCTCAGCTATGTATTAAGTTCAAGGCCAGTCTAGAACATACGAGACCTAGTCTCAAGTGAGAGGAGGCTCAATTGAGACAGAATGACTAGAGAAAACCTCTTTTTGAGAGAGGTAGAGATAGATAGACAGATAAGTAGACAGACAGACAGAAAGACAGAAGATGGATGGATAGATAGATAGATAAGAGATTTAAAATAGAGACATAAAGCATATATGTATTAAAAATAAATGTAAATTTTAAATGTAAAACAAGGACCCTTCATATTTGGTGTTCGGGTTCAGTGGCCCTTCAGTGAGTCGCACTGCCTAACTCTCCTGGTTAGAGCCCCCCTTCTGACTTCTGAGGTGCAGCCTGCAGCCATTGCTTATTCCTTGGAAGTCCAATGTCCCTAACACCGCTGTGGCAGCACTGACTGTTCTCACCTGCAGCTGCTTGGTGTGAAGACAGGACACAAGAGGCCCACCAGGAGCCTTTCCGTGCAGGATGCTGGGTGCATCTCAGGTCTTCCTGGCAGAGTCAGGTGAAACTGGCTGTCTTGCCCCACCCCCACCCCATCCTGTTAGTCCCCAGAGCTGCTGAAGCACTCCATCTCTCCAAGTCACACCCTGGGCCTTGCCCCAGGACCCCTCTACTGCTATTGCCTAGGAGCAACTCTGTTTGTCCCCCAGTGAGCACTGGAAATATTCATTAGAATCTTCCTAGGCTAAATATCTACACAATAAGTCTTTCTCTAGACAACCTGATCAAAGAGTAGAAAAGCAAGCAGGCAGCCATCCACCCCTGCACACATGCAGACTCAGGGACCAGCCCACTAATGCGGGCTTTGGGGAATGACAGTACCTAAGAGGTAAGCAAAGGATGAGGGTTCTTTAAACACTATATCTTGCAGGAGACAAACGACACTTTGCTTATCAACAGCATCACTTTAAGTTAGCATATCATGTAAGAATGTGAGGCTGGGAGCTGGAGAGATGGCTCAGTGGTTAAGAGCATTGATGGCTCTTCCAGAGGTCCTGAGTTCAATTCCCAGCAACTACATTGTGACCCACTGCCATCTATAATGAGATCTAATACCCTCTTCTGGTCCTTTCAGGTCTGTGGGCGTGTGGGAGAGGGGACTTATGAACAAGAGCAGAGCTGGCACCAGCCACCGACGGCCACACCTGTCTGAAATTTGGGCAGATCCCAATAGTGGTGAACTTGGAGCATCTTCGACAAGAGGCAGGGCTCTGCAGGCTGATCGGGGGAGGGTTTCCATGCAAGAGCAGTTGTGGGCCTCAGATCTTCTGGTGGGCTAGAGGTGAACTAGGCAGTATAGGGCTTTTATTACCCTCTAAGTTCCTCTTCTGAAAGGTGTGGGGAATCGATCTGTGAAGGCAAGGGCAACTGACCCCACTCACAGACCCCCACTGCAGCCTTGAAAACCAGATCCTAGCAACAGAGACAGGAGAAAGAGCTCTACATCTGGGCTACTCCTACAGAAGACAATGGGATCCAGGGAGGTGACACTGGACACACCGGGGACACGGCTGATACTTATGCAGTTACTTTGGCTGATACTTATGCAGTTACTTGCCGTAGCCACCCTGTCATTAAGCCGTTAGGTGACCTTAGGCAAATCTCTCCGTGCCTCAGTTCCTCTGACTATGAAACAAGGTTAAAAAAAAAAATAACCTGTAGTTCCTATTCTGTCATGAGGATAAAAATAAGACCGTAGATGTGAAAGTGTGATGGAGAGAGGCCAGAGGCACTATTCAAATCTCAGACTATTATTACCCTGACAAATCTTACCGACAGCAGCAGCGACATCAAAATGTCTAATTTTTGCTACCTGGGAAGCAGAGTGAGTGTTCTTCAGTTCAGGACTGCTGGGGACACAGAGCCAACAACCCTGTGGAAGCAGGCCCGTTCCCACCCAGCCTAATTCTGAGCTGGCTCACAGGTTTGGTGCCAATCCTCCTCCTGTGATGGGCAATAAGGCTTGAAGGATGGGGAGGGCTGGCTCCAACCCCTCTGCCCTCTCACCAGGCACTGTGCGTGGCTAGAGAAGCATAACCTCCCTTGGTGAAGTCCAAGCCTGGCCTGGCCCATGGCTGTAGCCCTTACAGGGAACCATATGGGAGACAGGGAGGGCCACAGGCATGCGCAATGACCACGCATGCTGTTTTCCCTCACAAGAAACACAGACACAGAGACACGCACACCTCTGTTCTACCTCTTTAGGTAACAAGTTGTTTTTAAAGACCCCCTCCCTGTTCAGTCTCTCTTAAGCAGCCTGTGATCTTCCCCTCCTATTTTGGCCTCAGGTGCCTCCACCACCCACGGATACACACAGTCTGGGAAGCCAGGGAGCAGGAGCAGCTTCCCACCCTCTGCCTGAACATCAGGAGACAGCCACCAGGAGCCTGGACTCTTCCTCAGTCCCCTGTGCCCTAGGCAGTGACCTGGCTCATACATCCACTCCCAAGTCTATGTCCCCTGTGTGTCCAGGGCATTGTTCTCCTGCCGGAATCTTTCCCAGCAGGGTCAAAGAGGTCCAGACTGAGGTAGACTGGCTGGAAGCTGCAGCTTGTCTCAGTTGGGAGGCCCATATGGAGCCCAGAAGGTAAGTATGACCAGGGAGAAGGAATAAAAGCAGGTGAAGGAGGCTGGGTTGGTTTCACCCTGGAGTCTGTGGAGATGGCAAAGGGCTGAGACTGACCGGCACGGTCTCCACCGAAAACACTGACAATGGGCTTAGGAGACAAGAAAGCTTCAGGGACTCCTGACTCACGGAGGCTTGGGCTCGGATCACGATTGCTCAGCTCAGGATGCTACCCTCAGATTCTCCCTCCCTGCCCACGGGCAACAGAACTGGTTTGGTCATCCCAGCAGTTGGTTCTAACCCGAGAGCTGTCTTGGATTCCACTCCCGGAGATGCGGCTTGTCCCCCAGGTCACAGACACAGATCTGTGACAGTCACTCTGGAGGAGGCGAGACCTTCTGCCTTGTTTGTCACTGGTGACTCTATCATGCCCACCTTACAGCTGGGCAAATGAAGGCGAAGAATGCACACTGGTGTGCTCAGGCTCATTAGACCTGCGCTGTCTGGCTCCCTGCCAACAGCATGGACCTCTCCTGGGATCAGCTGACATAGCCTCTGTGGCCTCCAGCTGAAGAGTCTGGCAGTGTGTGGAGACCAGGGGGAGGCGGAGTATGTCAAGTCTGAGCTGGCTGCTACACCGCAGGAGGAGTGCGGGGCTGCCCTTGCTGCCTCCGGCCCTTCTTCTGTAAGCATACCTCCTCCAGATGCCTGAGAGTCCTGGCTGCCCTGGAGTTTACTCAGGGTCATGGTGGAGGCGGTGGGGTTTCTTTCAGGTTGGCCTAGCGCTTCCAGGCTCCCAACAAGGAGAGCAGAGAGGGCAGCATCCTGGAATGGAGTTTCCAGGCATGAAACTTTGCCTAGGCAGGTGCGGTTATGCCTTCATGTCTTCTGCCTATGTCTCTTCCCTCACCCTCATGAGGCCTCTGCTCAGCACACACAGCACCCAACAGGATCAAGAGCAGAGCTGGGAAGAAGGAGGTAGAGGATGCTAGCTGCATCTGGACTTTTATAGTCTTTTTTGGCAGAGAGCTGATGATCCCCAGAGTGCCCAGGACAGCACCGTAGCCCATCTGGGTAACAGTTGGCTTTCCTGGAGCCCAGCCCGAGGTGGTGGGGCTGCTTTCTGTACCCAGGGAACAAATTCCTCCTCCACCGGCTTTCCCTGTCACACGCCCAGGCCACAGAACACACATTATCTTTGTTAATTTATGGGAACAAGGCTGCTCCACAGGGACCACCACTCTAGGCCCCAGCCCTGCCTACACCCAACTGTTTATCTCAGATGTGTGGAGAGAAAAGCCAAACTCCCCCACCCTCTCCTAGGCAAGACCCCACCCAGTGCACACACATGGTGCAGATGTGAGCTCTCTGACCCCTGTGAAACACAAGCGCGGGGCCTGGCGACCACTGGGCGGCACAGCTGTATGTACAGATGGTGTAAAAAGCCTGGTGGGAGAGCTTTCTATTGTACCTCTGAGTCCTTGCACCTCCCAGCTCCCCTGCCCACTCCAGGGCCTCCATGTCCCCTTTTCCTTGGCCTTATGGCCAGCTCAGTTCCACATCAAAGATCTCCTTAGCTGACAGTCCTCACAGGGGCCAGCTGCCTCTAGACTGCCCACTCCAGGGCCTTCAGTCCGCTCCACGGAGAGCCCTGCCCAGCTGTGGCTGGCCTCTGGACCTCTCTGGGCCCCACAGGCTCTGGCTTTCTCTGAGAGAAGTGCCTGCTCCGTCCAGTCCCTCCTCATGGCTCCAGCTCCCGGGAGAGGCGGGACAGTTCCCGCTGGTTGTCAATGACCTTCAGTTGCTGGACATAAGCCCAGGTGCTGGCTGGACTCCGGGTGCTCAGGGACTGCTCAGAGCCTGGGGGAAAGGAGAGCCATCATGGGGGGCACCATCGCCACCTCGCCAAACCCACCGCTGCCCTCTCCAGGGAGCAGCCTCAGCTCTCGGGCTTCCATTCCCAACCCTGCATCCTCTTAACACTAGTCCCCACCACCACCATTGGATTCCAAGGACATAGTATCCGTTCTCTAGTTCAAAGGGAACTAAAACAGGTTGAATGTGGTGGTACATGTTTATAATCCCAAGCTTCAGAAACTGAGGCAGGAGGATGGACAGTTCCAGGTCCTGTTTCAAAAAGATAAGAAAAAAAAATGGCCACGAATAGTGGTGTGTGCCTTTACTCCAGAACCAAGGAGGTAGAGACAAGGAAATCTTTATGAGTTTGAAGCCAACCTGGGCTACATAGCAAGTTCTAGGCCAGCAAAGGCTTTGGCTCAAAAAGGTCAAGAAAACAAAAACAAACCAACTAAAGGTTGGATGGCTAGCTCAAGGTATGAACTGTTTGTCTTGCAAGCGTGAAGACCTGAGTCCAAACCTCAGAACCGGCAAGAGTCTTTGAACCCCATGCTGGTGAGGTAGAAGGAAGCAGATCTCTGCAGCCAGTTAGCCAGCCGAGACTACTTGGTAAATCCCAGGCCAGTGAGAGAGCTTGTCTCACAAAAAGGAGAGGGTGGGTACCTGAGGAACAACCCCCAAGGCTGTCCTCTGACCACTGCACACGTATGTACACATATACATGTGTGCATCCATCCCTACACACGTGCATATGTTCACACATACATAAATAGAATAAAACCTGAACAAAGTTGATTGTAATATGTATGAAGCATGTGGGTGTGAGATAAGGCTATTTAAAAAAACAAAAGCACAGGTTATGGCACAAACTTGGAATCCTAGCCTGGGCTACGGGGTAAGACTGTCTTAAATATCAATCAATTGATCAACAAACAAAATACAAGACAGAGAGAGTAACTCCAAATTCACCAGAATGGCAGCTGTGGGGGGAGAGGGAGTGGACAGTGGAGAACCAAGCTGTCATCTGTGTTCTACCTGGACTGAGCCACAGGCTCAATTTATTATCAGCAGAAGCATCTGTGAACACGGGATGGGCATCGTGATACTAACCGTATGCTATGACTATTCTTTAACCACATACAAGGCATATCAGATAAATACACAGGCCGGAGGTAGCACCTGTCCCATACAGTGCCAATGGACTGTACAAAAGCATCCGGTTCCACCCCTGGCTATGCCATCTACTGCCAGTACCCCTGTCCCATCACTTACATGTGGAAATCCTTGATGCCTGGCTGTCCTCGTGGATGTGGGAAACTCGGCTTCTGAGTGGTGACAGAGGCACTGGGTGGGGTGAAAGAGGCCAGTCAGGGAGAGAGCCATGCTGAGCCTGAGCCTCCCTGGGCACCGAAGGACCACTTCTTACCCGTGCTGTGGCTCCGGCAGTGGTGGAGCATCCGCATGGCTCTGGCCATCATTCGCTGTGGGTGACACAAAGACATGAGATCTGCCTGTGAGCCCAGAGCGTGGCCTGCATATGGGAAGCTGGGAGTCAAGCCCCCTTTAAACCACGTTCCTAGGGACGAGGGGTCTATAAAAGACAGGGTGAAGGCTGCTTCAACCCAACACACCCAGATGCTCAAAAGCAACAAGGCAGCAGCTGGAAGACAGGGAAGCAGCTGGCGATTAGGGAAGGCTAAGAGATAAGGGTTAGAAGGGACTCTTACTGAACAGTGTGATGTTTGGGACTGTCATCCCAGCAGTTCCAATAGGAAGGCAGACCCTCCCTCCCATGTGCAGTAGAGTAAGGGAGGAGTGATTTAATAATGAATATTCTCTTCTAAGAAAACCAGTCTACAATTCACAGTCCCAGAGAACCTAGACAATAATGAGGACCCTAAGAGAGATATACATGGATCTAATCTACATGGGAATGTAGAAAAAGACAAGATCTCCTGAGTAAATTGGGAACATGGGGACCATGGGAGAGGGTTGAAGGGAAGGGGATCAGAGAAAAATGCATAGTTCAATAAAATCAATAAAAAGTTAAAAAATATTCTGTTCTAATTTACTTTTTCGAAACAGGATTTCTCTGTGTAACAATCATAGCCGTCCTGGAACTCTCTTGGTAGACCAAGCTGGTCTCGAACTCATGGAGATCTGCCTGCCTCTGCCTTCCAAATGCTGGGATTAAAGGTGTGCACCACCACCACCTGGCTAAGATTTATTTACTATGTATACAGTGTTCTGTCTGCATGTATGCCTACACACCAAAAGAAGGCACCAAATCACATTACAGATGATTGTGAGCCACCATGTGGTTGCTGAGAATTGAACTCAGGACCTCTGGAAGAGCAGCCAGTGCTCTTAACCGCTGAGCTATCTCTCTGGCCCCTTTAATTTTTCTTGAAACAAGGTCTCTCAATAGCCCAGGCTATTCTTAAACACAGAATCCTCCTGCCTCAGCCTCTTATGTACTCGGATCACTTGCATGCACACCGGGGTTCAGACTCTATCAGCTGACCCCTAACTCGACCCTTCTTGGGCAACTGTCATACTGCCAACCTGCACTGGAAGTGGAAGCCCACTTTCTTCGCACTTACCATCTTCTCAAAGTTGATGAGGTTCTCTACGAGCGTGTGGTTTCCCTCATGGATGAAGGTCATGTCTGCAAAGGGGATGACTTCACTTACAGGTTCCCTCCAGGAAAGGTGGGGAGCCAACCACAGGGATCACAGGGATCACAGGGCCTGTCCCACCCACATCCTTGGCCTCCAGCAACCTCCACATCATCCCAATGCGCTGACATCTCTTGGGATTTCAACCACAGCTCTCGGTGCAGCCCTACTATGCTCCTGTCCTACCTCCTAACTTAGCTCGGTGCTCCCTGTATACCAGCCCCTCAGCTGTCAGAGAGTGCTGAGGGAACATGAATGTTCCCGGGATGGAAGCAGAGAAGAGAGCACAGGTCCTACCTTTGAGTAGCAGGGGCATGAAGGGGATGACAGGAGGGGAGAGCTTGGTGAGTGCCAACCGATACACTCGGTGGTTCCACGATGGGTCCTGTGAGGAGAAAAAGCTTCCCTGAGGGAGTCCTGCACATGATGGCCTACCACAGACCCATCCTCTCCTGGGTCCCAGGCCACATAGGAGAGGCTCCAAGCCAGCTTCCCCCTCCTACAGGGTCTTGCTGAGGCAAGGTCTATGGTAGGACAAAGGGGGTCAAGGACTGGCTTCCTAAGTTCCCAATGCTCCCAGGGAGTCTTCACGGTGATTAGTCAGAGGCCTGAAGGTTTCTGGGAAACCTCTTTCAGCCTCTCTGTCTCTCCGGTGGCTGTACTCTTCGGAACCCCTTGCATTCCATGAGGTGACCAGTTTTGTCGAGGACTCATAAGACTGAAAACACCTTGGTGCTCTTCTCTCTAGACTCTACAAAACCTTCAGAGGTTCCAGGAAGCTCTGCTGACATCATTCCTCACTTTCATCTTAAAGGTTCGGCCTGCAAGCCCTTCGAGGGTCCTCAAGGGGACAGCGACCCTCCAATCTGACATACAGTGGCTCTTCTGCTCACAGCCTCAAGGAACAGAAGACCACAGACCTGTCTTTGCTGTCATGCTTGGCCATCAACCTGAACCCTTGGACAGAGTCTGGCATCCTCTGACCCCCCTCTCACACCCCACACCAGAATCTTAGACCCAGGACATCCCTGGGCCTGCCGTGGTCTCATATCCAGGGCAAATATCCCTTACGTGAATACCAAGGGGTACAATATACCACAAGGCCCCCCATCACTATGCCACACACCCTCCACCAGCTTCCACAACCACAGGCCAGAAGGATTCAGGCCCTCGATGGGCACTGAAAGCTGTGGAAGGCTAAGACTCAGTGTTCAGAGATGGCAGAGACGGGGCCAGCACTTACCAGAAGCCTCTCCAAGGCAGAGTACAGCTTCCGTACTTTATGGGGTAGACGCTGTAAAGGTAAGACAGATGAGGGGCCATGACTGGGAAGACAGAGCCACCCTAGACATCCCCCAGGAGGGCAGAGACCTGGCCTTGGCATCGGATCCTCCTGTGCACCTACCTCCCAGGTGTGGGCCAGGCGGCTGATGGCAGAGTTGCTGAGGCCAAACATGACCGCAAAGAAAGAGTTGAGATTCTTCTGCTCCTTGAGGCTGTGAGCACAAGACCCAGGCACCCTCAGAGGAAGCAGTCATGTCCCCAGAGCTGCCTTGGCAGGGTGGGTGGCTTAGAAAGCAAAGGCTCTTGGGGACCCGGGAACAAAGAGAAGGCAGATTGGGCAACACAGTGGGCAGGCAAGGGGGTTAAGAAAGGGCGGCCACAGGGCTGGCAACACAGGGCCACTGTTTCCACACATCCCATTATCCCTCTCTACCCCATCTCTCCACACAGGACACTGTCCCAACAGGCACTCACTGGGCTGCCAGCTTGATGAACTTCCGGAGCAGCTGAGCCCGGGGCCCAGGAACGGAGCAGAGACAGAGCTCGGTGGCTACCCAATACTGCAGCTCGTTGAATCGCCGCATGAAGCGCTCCAGGTTTGCGGTGGTGACATCCCGCAGGTGCTGGGGCCCCAGCACGTAATGGATCAGCTCCACCTGGATGGGGCAGAGGCCTGGTCAGCGTGCTAGGCCTGGCGTCCTGGCCACGCCCCCCCGGTCTCCACCCCCTGCACCTGGTGGATCCTGTTGAAGAGGCTCCAGTCAAGCTCTGTCAGCTGGCCTGCCAGGTCCTTGGCGCTCACTAGGTCCAGCATCTCAGAAGAACCCAGAGTGGGCCCCAGCTGCTCGGGGTGTGGGGTCTGCCGGGGGAAAGAGTGCTCAGATACGGGGAGGACCTGGGACAAAGGCTCTATCTGTGGTCAGAGGGGCAGTGGACAGACAAGGCACTTGAAGTGGAGGGGCTTATTGGGTCTGGAAAATGGGCTCTCCTGAGGGGTCACTGTACTGACGACTCTCTCATGCTGGAACTCCAGCTTGCGCCCCTACGGTTCTGGAGTTAGGGTAGCCCCTCTTCTCCTCCGACTCTCCACAGATGCTGAGGCCTTCCTTCTCTCTTCCCCACGATGACACAGGAGCAGGCAGAGCCGAACACCCCCCTCTCTCTTCTGCGGCCCTCCCACAGCTCCCCAGGCTCTGGCAACCTGCCTGTCCCTACCAGCTCATGAACTTCCTGTGGGTCCACAACAAAGAGCCGCTCGTTGAGCCCCATGGATGTGGCCACACCGCGGGCATCTGGCTGCAGGCCAACGACATCTGCCAAGGCAAGAGGCAGTGTTGAGGAGAGGCTGTTGGGAGGGAGGCCAGGGGCCAGCTGGAGGCCCCTGCCTATCTGAGAGTTTTCTTCTGGCAGTGGCTGAGTAGAGACTCCAGACGTACAGGTAGGTGTACAGGCCTACACCTGGACACTGCCTACAGCCCCAGAGACTGGTCAGTCTTACAAAGGCTTCAACTTCCCTGACCCTCAGCTTCTTCTTTCCTTAATCAAAGATGGTAGGACTCACTCCAGCTATGTCCTAGGTCACTTTTTTTTAAAAAAAAAATATTTTATTTGCATTGGTGTTTTGCCTGCATGTGTGTCTGTGTAAGGGTGTTAGATCTTGGAGTTACAGTTGTTAGTGTAGGTGCTGGCAATCGAACCTGGGTCCTCTGTAGAGCAGTTAGTGCTCTTAGCCACTGAGCCATCTCTCCACCCCCCTGGGTCATTTTTAGAAGCATGGCTACTGCAAGAAAATGATGTGTATAAAAAGGCCTTCTGACAGTTAGGAAACACCCTAGACACCTCCTGGTGTTGCTTTCATTGACTGTGCTGGACAAGGTGTTGAGTCTTCGAGTCTCCAGACCCTTGGCCAGTGGCTACCAAAGTCCAGCATACAAGACTACACATCTGTCCAGAGAAGAAGCAGCTCCTCGATTTAATTAATCCATTTTCTCACCTGTTCTGCTTTTCTAGTTTGTGTGTAGTTTTATAATTACATGTTGATGATGTGATTTTTTATATGTAACTTATAAGCAAATGTACACTTAGGGAGATTTGTAACAGAGCATTGGTTACTGGATAGGTGTTCATCGGTGATCTGAAAATGACGGCCACACAGTAGGGTCTCAATAAACTAGACTTTGGCCCGCGGTAATTCACCAGGTAACCACGAGGGGGCAGTGCTTCCTAGAGCTGAGCACGCAGGTGTGCTACAGTGTTGATGACTGTGGGAGAGGGCTTTTATCCTCGCCTTGCCATAGTTCCCTGAGGACCCCAGTTCCTGACTGCTGGGCTCTGGCCATCAGGCCCAGGCTACACTTTTCAAGGGTAACAGTGGCTTTTTAACATACCAAATTCTCCAAAAGCAGGTCCTGATAACCTGGATGACCGTCTATGGAGAGATGCACTAGGTTCTGGGTGACATGCCTTGTGGGTATCTGTAGTCCAACAGCTCTTTCTGTCTCTCATAACATTACAGGGATAATGCCCACTGGACAGGCAAGGAAATGGAGACACAGAGAGGCCAGGGTCCCCCAGCTGGTTAGAGGTTAAATTGGAGAATGAGAGCTAAATTCTCACATAGCTCTGGGAGTCCAGTCTGTTGTCACCATCCCGCTGATCGGTTGTAGTTTCTGTAGTAATCCAAGCACCTAACACATTGTGTCTACATAGCTGGGCCTCAGAAATGTTTGTTGTGGGGGCTGAAGAGGAGGCTTAGTGGTTAAACACACTGGTTACTCTTCCAGAGGACCTGGGTTCGATTCCCAGCACCCACTTGGTGTCTCACAACTATCTGGACTTCCTTCTTCAGGAGATCCAACCCCCTCTTCTTACTTTTATGGGACTCAAACATATGTATGGTGGTGCACAGACCATACATTTAGGCAAAACACCCATACACATAAAATAAAAAATTATAAAAAAGAAACTAATTTTTAAAGTGTTTGCTCTGCTAGTTGGTTTGCCAATGACACAAGCTAGGTCCATCTTGGAAGAGGGAACCTCATTTGGGAAAATGCCTGTGTCAGAGTGGCCTGCAGCAAGTCTGGGGGGGGGCATTTTCTTGATTAATGATTGATCTGGGAGGACCCAGACTGCTGTGGGCGGTGCTACCCTGGGCAGGTGGTTCTGGGCGGTGTAAGAAAGGCTGAGCAAGCCAGGGGGAGCAAGCCGGTAAGCATCACTCCTCCGTGGCCTCTGCTTTGGTTCCTGCCTTCATTCTCTTCATTCCCTTCACGATGGGCTGTAAAATGAAGCCTTTGCCTCCCCACGTTTATTTTGATCATGCTCTTCACTGGAAAAAAAAAAAAAAAACAGAAAGCAAACCAGGAAATCTGCTGAATGGCTTAATGAATGAGGACTATTAAACCAAAGACTAGCCACATGCTCGCTAATGCTACTAGCTCGGGGAATACGCCGGATTCTCTGAACTCTGGTTTCCATGGTTAAAAAAAATGGGATAAAATTTCCCCTTGAGAGACGGTGATTAGGAATAAATGAGTGTCTGAGAGTGACACATATCAGACACCATTCTAAACACGTTCCTCATTCAAGCCTCACAGATGCTCTGAGGGGCAGAGCATCTCTTTGTCTGTGCTTTACAGGTGGTGAGCCCAAACAGAGAGCTCACACTCCCTGTGCAGGGAGTCACAGCCAGAGATGTGGGAATCTTACCACAAGTGCAGGGCATGAATATAACGGTCTGAATTCAAGGGCATCGGTGTGGATCTGAGTGCGCCCTCCCAGGGTGGAGAGTCCAGAGACACAACTTACCGCCTGCGGAATTGACCTTGACCAGAACTTGCCCCTTGGTCCAGTGGTCCTCAAGAGCCAGAGCCGCCATCACCTCTCTCACGGAGGCCGTCACAGGCAGCTGCAGAGTCAGCACTGAGTGGTCGGGTCTGCAGATGTCATAGGGGACTGGAGAAGAGGAAGGGCCGAGATGGGTCAGCAGGTGCCTGGTCTCCCGACCCCATAAGGAGCAAGGCCTTAGATCAGTAGCAGGACTCCCATAGTCCAGAAAAGAGAATTTAAGAAGTCCACCAGGCTGGTGGGAGGGCCCAGCAGGGAGCCCCAGGCCTAGGGAAGTAGCAGAGGTCCCCCACCTGCCTGGCAGCTATAGCAAAGGCCCTGGGGAAGACCACACTCCTTGCCACCCCTCATGCTGGGCAAGGGAGGCAGAGACAGCAATGCTGACGTCAGTCCACGCCTGGCTTGCTCAGTCACCCACCTTTGTCCCCAGCTCGAATGGCGCCACCAGTGCTGCTTGGGAGGGGTTCCTCCTGGCCAGGGAGCCAAACAGGTGCATTCCGGGCCTGAGACAAAAAAAAAAAAAAAAAAAAGACAAGGCTTCAGCATTCAGAAATGTGCAGGGAGAGACAGGGAGGGCCTTTGTCACCACCTGCAGCGACCCCAAAGTGTCCTAAGGCCCAGGGGTTCTGCAGGTTGGTCATCTGAATCCAAACAGAGGGAGGGCAGGGAGCCAGCCAAGAGGAAACACAGAGGTCAAATGCAGGCCAGTCATCCATGGGGCGGGACAAGGGAGGGGAACGGTTCAGCCACCTCCACAAACAGGGCCAGAGCTGTTCTGGGATAAAAATGCCTGGACCCAGTTTCTTCTCTCCTTTCCCCACTTAGCATCTGCTACAAAGTGTGGCATTGTTCTGGGCACTGAAATAGTCACAGTAGCCCTTGGAGAAAAGTATTTTTAATCCTCATTTTTTGGATGTGATAAATGAGACTCAGAGAAGTTAAGTAATATGTCAAAGGCCACACAGCAACTGTTATGGGGCTAGAAACTTGCTATGCTCCGTCTGTGCCCGTGTCCTCCAGGAGCGGCCCTGACAGAGACCAGATACCCTTTCTGATGGGCCGGCCTATAGTGAGTTCATCTGGCCTTGATACTCTCTCCAAATCCAGTACTTCCTCTCTGCCTCTAAATGGAGCTGGTCCCCTGCTCCCCGTCCCTTCCTAGACAGCTTCCTCGAGTCCACACAGCGAGTGCCACAGACAATGTTCAAAATGCTACCACCTGTGGGTTCACCAGGGCTCTTAAAGTTATATTCCCTTTCCTGACTCATTGCCCCAAACTTCTTGCACCCAGGGTTCCCACATCCTGCCTTCACTACTTTCTGCAATTTTGGGTTCAGGCTCCTCCCTGCTCCCCAGACCTTGTCACTTCCTTCTGGGTTCTTCATTTAAATGAGTCCCCAGTGCCCTCTCCCCCACCCAGTATTTATTTAATGTATGTGAGTGCTCCATCTGCATGCATGCCTGCACACCAAAAGAGGGCATCAGATCTCACTACAGATAGCTGAGCTGTTGTGGTAGCTGGGAATTGAACTCTGGACCGCTGGAAAGAGCAGTCAGAGCTCTTAATCACTGAGCCAACTCTCCAGCTCCCAGGATGATCTCTTAACTACTACAATAGTTCACTAAACTTCCCCCAGCCCTCAGGTCCAGCCACTCACTTCCTCTAACCCCCCTGAGCAGAGAGAGGTACACTGAGCCAGGGATAGAAGTCATCACTGTCTCCTCCAACCTCTCAACGGTTCACAGCTGGGACCCTGGGAGGAGACAATCTGGCCCCCTGCCCACCATCCTGGCCTCCTCACTACCTCCAGTGCTGCCCTGGGGCCCTATCTGTCCTCAGCTCAGCTCCCAGGACACTTCTCTAAGCCCTCATGGTAAGTCAATAAGTCGGCTTTCTCCTCTTGCCTTCTCAGGCTCCAATGACTTCACACATTGGGAGACTATTTCACAGCTCTGGCCCACAAGTGACTGTGAACCCATGGCCACACCATCCAGCATCCAGCTCAGTGTCTGACATGCCGGCTGACTGACATTGATTCCCGGGTGTCAGTCACATGCCATATGTAAAACAAGTAGAGATCCTGACAGGATGTGACAGACAGGAACATACCACACACCACGAGTTCTGCAGTGTGGGAGGAGCCTAGTCTCAGACGAGCAGCAAGGAGACTAGTAAAGGGTTGGATGAGGGGACCCCTGGGTATAAGGAGTTTGAGGTAACAGTCAAGTCCGCAGGTAAGAAAACTTGGAAGGAACCAGAGAGGACACATGGGGATGCTCCAGATGGGGAATGGAAGGACCTCTCGGGAACTCACGTTCTGACTCTGTTCAGAACAAAGAGCGAAAGCAAAGGAGCAACCAAAGAAAGGTTTGTGCAAAGGCTAAATGCTAAGGTCCTGAGGTGGGGCCAGCTTTGACTAGAGCAGACAGGAGCCAGTGAGAGCCTCTGGCTGACGGGGCTGGCTGAAGCTAAGGTACTGACTTTGTTCTTCTCCAATGCATCCTACCTTCTCCCCAGTCCTTTCTCCCACTAGTCTTCAACCAGATCTTAGCACCAGCCGCAACTTCTCATCTGGGAGTGGGCTGGCCACAGGAGCTTACTATCTAAGCTCCTGTAATACCACCCACCAGAAACCCTTGTGTCCCAGGAGTGAACGCCACCACCCGTCTCATCTCCTAGCTACAAATGCAGGCACGAACCATCTCCCAGAGGAATAAAAGCCCCTTAGGGAAGGGATGAAAGTGTCCCCGTAAGCTTGTAGCTCTCCAACAGGACCTCCCCTGATGTACCCATCACAGGTCAAGGATGGGCATGGAGGCAGGAGGGGCAGAGGGAAGAAGCTGGACCAGGCAGAGGGAAAAACAAGAGGCAGGGCAGGCACCTTGATCTGAGGAGATGCGTTCCCACAGCCATTCTCCAACCTGCAGAGAGGATGAGAGAGGAGGTGAGAGGGCCCCTAAGAAACCCTCAGGCAGGACGCCTCTCAGGGTCAGTGGCCACAGTGGTCTGGTTCCCATCTCACCCTCCCCAGAAGCTCAGAAGGATGCAGAGGGGAGGGTACACAGGGCAGGGGGCAAGATGCACTTAAGACCTGGACTGGCTTTTGTGATTTCCAGGAGAGAGGGGGAAGCAGGAGGGAGACACAGGCTCCAGGAATCTGAATGAGCTCTTGCCCTTGAACCCCAATTGCCCCCACAGATGTCTGGGGAGGCAAGGTAATGCAAAGGAGTTGATGGACAGAATGCGTGGAAATTGGTGCCATTGTCCATAGCAACTGGTCAAATGGAAGACGTGAACATGTAGGTGCATTCAACATATAGATGAGCCTATGAATGACTGTAGCGTGTGTGGGAATGAAATGGGGCTGACAAGAACACCTGACATAAGCCAGGTGGCCTAGACCCAGATGGACCAGTGCCAGCCGCTCAGCCTGTGCTGCACAAAGAGGACAGACGAACGTCAGTCAGAGGGTCACCTGTGATGCCGCCTCCTCTCTGGCCACTGCTCCCTCAGCAAGTTGCTAAGCCGGGCATCCCTGCTCACCAGGTCTGAGAGTTTCTGTGAAAAGCTGAGCGTTAGCCCCTGGGGTGGCTGCTGCTGTATCTTCACGGTACCCCAGCCAGCCCAGCTGCACTCCCCAGGTACCTGGAGGAAGCTGGTGGCCACGGGGTCTGAGTGGAGCATGGGGCCGTACAGGGCCACCCACTGGCTGACTAGCCGCAGAATCTGCTGCCTTTTGTTGCAGACATAGGTGCTTCGTTCCTGTTCGCTGCCTCCAGCAGGCTCTGCCGGCTCCACATGGAAGGTGGGCACCAGTCAAGGGAAGCACACCGTGCCACTAAGGCCACCAACCACCCCTGAGCAGAGGAGGGGCAGAACCAGACTGGGACAGGTATGTTCAGGGCATCGGGGAGGGGTTACAACAGTCACTTGGATGGAAATTCCTTCCCTCTCTGCCACACACCATCCCTTCCCCTACCCACATTGCCCCGGGGCTGGAAGGATATTGATGCAAGAGGGCAGTGAAGAGCTGGGTGCTGGGCATGAAGACACTGTGGGTCAGCAGGAAGTCACTGAGGAATGTCTCTGTTGGGCAGGGTTAGGGATAGGAAGGAACTTCAGAAGCCAAGTCATAGCACAGCTATACGAGCAGCGGGAGCACATATCCCCAAGTACGGCACAAGCAAGGGAATCAATGCCCAGCCTCTATTACATTGTTCTCCACCCTGACCAGGAGCACTTCCTGCCAACTGCCTACATGGACCAATCCAGCCCCTGATGAGGTCAGGCCGCAGTGACCTCCTGATGACTCAGAGAAAGGTAGTGTCTTAAGACTCTACCTGTTGGGTCATGAGCACTGGAATCTGGCCGCATAGCTTCCAACAGGAGTTCTAGGATCTTCTCTGGGGTGCCAGACATTACTGTATACCTAGAGGAAAAGTAGTCCGACTATGGCACATGCCCTTCCGCCATCACTCCGTCCGCATAGACATCAATCACTGATCCCATCCCGCCTCCCGATTGGCCAGCCCTATTCCATCTTGGAGAGGGGGCATTGATACATCCCCCCAGCCCTTCAGTGCTTCCTACCCCCGAACACGGCATGAGAAAGAAGCAAAAGGCTGAAGGTGGGGGAGGTGTGTAAGTGGGGAGCAGTGGGGAGCGGTGTAGGGAGAGATTCGGCGGGCTTGTTACCGATTCCTGCCTGGGGTTGGGGGGCGGGAAGGGCCGGTGCCCTGAGAGCTCCTCTCCAGAACCAGCACCACTTTGCCATGCTCTTCCAGCCTCATGGTTTTCGCTTCCACATCCTGGAGAAGGAGCCACACAGGTGTCCAATGCCCTAGGCTCCTTTTCCGACCTCCTGTACCACCTCCCTTCCGAACCCCGAGCCTGCAGGCTCCTGAGGCCCCTCAGCTCTTCTCAAGACTCCCCTTTATCAGACTTCCCAACCTCAACCCCTCCCCAGACCCAAATCCCAGCCTCTGCCACCCACCAGTCCCTGGTCTCTCACACCAAACTGAGGTGTCCACTCCCAGCCGGATCCCAAGTCTGCTTACAAGCTCTCACGGACATCCGTGACCCTGGGCCACACCACGCCATGTCCTCACCCCCCCCCCGCCCCCACGGCACCTTGATGATGCGGTTGAAGTCCTGCTTGTCCACACGCAGAAAGTGACAGTTATTTTCTCGGAGGACGATGGTGGCTGCCCGAGGCGCGCCGTTCACCAGAGCCAGCTGTCCAAAGTCGTCTCCCTCGTGGAGAGTGGTCACCAGCCCCTGAAGCCAGGACTCAGTCACAGCCCACCCTAGCACCAGCCCCTCCGGGGGACTGTGCCGGGCTGGAGGGAGAGCTTACCTTGCCGTGGGTCACCACATTGACAGATCCCTTCCAGATGATGTACCACGAGGTGCCCTTGTCCCCCTGGCTAAACACTGACAGAAGCACAGATCACATCAGTCCTGTCCTCTTCTGTCGCCCACCACCGCCCCATGGCCCCTGACCCTGTGGCCAACCCGACTTACACACAGTCCCTGCCTTGCTGTGTGGTTCAAAGAGCAGAACGGCAGCTAATTCCCGCTTCACCTAGGGGTGGGAGAAGGAAGATCAACAGTGTCAGCCTGGGGAGAAGACAGACAGGCTGAGAGAGAGGGCAAGTCCAAAGACAAGGGACTGAAGGATGGCGTGTGGCCAGGCTGCTTATCTCTGGGATGTGCCAGAGACAACGTAAAGAAAAAAAAAATGGCCAAGGAGGTGGGGAAAGATTCAGACTGAAGGCTAACAGTAAGAAATTAGGTAGAGAGACTGGAGGGACGGTTCAATGGCTAAGGGCACTGGATGCTCTTCCAGAGGCTCTGTGTTTGATTCCCAGCATCCAGATGGCAGCTCACAGCCATCTGTAACCAGCCAGTTTCAGGGGATCCAATGCTCTTTTCTAGACTCCATAGGCACCAGGCATGCATGGTTTATACAGACATACATGTGAGCAAAATATCCATACACATAAAATAATTTTAAAATTGTAATAAAAAGGAGGGGAAAAAAAGAAGCCAAGGTGTGTGGCGCATGCCTGTTACCCACACACTCTGAGTTGGAGGCCAGGTAGATCTACAAAACGAGTTCCAGGACAGCCAGAGCTGTTACACAGAGAAACTCTTACTCAAAAAACAAACAAACAAACAAAACAAAAACAAAAGGTAGGGGAAATTTTAAAAAAAATGAAAAAAGAGAAGCCAGGCAGTGGTGGTGCACACCTTTAATCCCAGCACTTAGGAGGCAGAGGCAGGCGGATCTCTGTGAGTTTGAGGCCAGCCTGGTCTACAGAGCGAGTTCCAGGGCAGGCTCCAAAGCTACAGAGAAACCCTGTCTTGAAAAAACCAAAACCAACCAACCAAACAAATAAATAAAATTAGAGAGAGAGAGGGGAGAGAGAGAGAGAGAGAGAGAGAGAGAGAGAGAGAGAAGAAATCTTCAAGCCACAGGCTTGAAAAGGTGGGAACTGTTACACACACACACACAGACACACACACACACACACACACACACACACACAAGCGTGCGCGCCCCATCCAGCAGTAGGCGGTAGGAGCCCGGGGGCTCCCAGAGGAAGAGGTCTAGCTAAGGGCAAGCCCGTGTGTGTACTGACGGAGTTGGAGAGGTGGGCCACTGCCTTGATGTGCAGTAGCTCTTCGAAGATGAGGTCCAGCTCTTCATCTGTCCGCTGACCTGGGCTGGAGGAGCAGAGGAAGTCCTGAGAACTGGGGCCACAGCCAGAGAAGAGCTACCCCACCTGCCTGCTGGGGCCTGGGACCTGGAGCCAGATGGCAACTCCGCAACTATCAGTCAATCCACTGTTATCAATAACAGGCTTTGTGGGTGAGGCCAGGTCCTGGGCACTGTGCAAGCACCTTTCACGCGCTATTTCATTCTATGCTCAAACTATGATGTGGGCACTGCTGTCCTCACTTGACAGAAGAGGAAGCTGGCTGAAGAGGCCCAAGGTCACCCGGTGAGTAGCTGGTTGGGCTAGAAGTTGAACCCTGACTCAGTCAAAACTCCACACCCTCTGTCAGTGGGGAGGGGGTCTTTAGACCCTCTGGCCCAACACCCGCAAGAATAGGAGAAACAGCCTAGGATGTGGGGGCTGAAGTCACATGGCAAGTCCAAGGCAGAATGAGAGCTGAGTTCAGGCTTCTACTCCTGCCCAGGTTCTCTCCCCCAGGTGAAAGTGAGCGCCTTTGGGGTATAACTGAAGGCCACATGAAAGTGGGGTGGGGACTGAGGGCAGGGCTTTTTACTCACGGCTTCCGGAGGGCCACGGTGAGTAAGGCATCAGGCCCTCGCTGCGAGAGCAGAGCCATTGCCTCAACAAGCTCCTCTTCCACGTCATGAGTTCCCGCGGGTTCTGGCTCTGGTCCAGGGAACCTATAGAATTGGGCATCTCGGTCCTGGAAGGTCCAGTCATGTTTCACTGGGAAGCCAAGGCCCAGGCAAGGCAGAGAAGAGAAAATGAGGCCAGGTATTGGACTTCATACGAAAATCCTCACCATGCCTTATAGCCCCTCCAGACCAGAGTTCCCAATAGAGTCCAGTCCTCAGGTCAGCCCTCCCTACCCCCACCCAGTCCTAGTGGCCAATCTGAGCTCAGCTCACCATGGTAAAGGGCACCCTCATCCAGCAACACCTGGCAGACACCCACAGCTTGGCTCCGTGAATGGACGCCAAGCCCCAGAGACAAGATCACATCCACCAGCTCCCGGCCAGAGCAGCATTGCCTGTGGGAAATGGAATAAGGCCAGACAATCAAAGTGGGAGTGAGCAGGATCTCTATCCAAAGTCACCGTCTGGGACCAAGCCCAGTTTTTCCCCTACATAGCAGGGCTGGGCCCCGATGCCTGGAGGAGAGCAGGGACAGAAACTGCCAGGGTAACCATCAAGGGCAGGCAGGAGCCACACTTGCCGCTCACCGGTATAATCGGAGATGGTATTTTCTGTCTCGGATGAGGGTAGGGTAGGTGGCCAGGAGATGACGGTGGAGGAGCTTCCCTGCCTTGAGCACGCGCTCTGTGGTGGCCTTGGATGAAGTGGGGGTGGTGGCAAACTTAGGCCTGAACCCCGCAGCCTGTTGCCCCCTCCCAGTTCTGCTTTCCTCTGCTCATACCTGCTCCAGGCTCACACTGAAGTCCAGGGACTCCTCACTGTTGGTGAGTGGTGTCTGAGGGCAGCAGGGAGAAGTTGCAGATCAGAGAGAAGGAAGTGGGGCCCATCCCGCCTTTCTCCCTTCTTCCCTCGCCTGAGTCTCGGCCTCAATTCATCCAAGAGCCTTTACACCACAAATGCACAGTTGTCGCTTGCCCAGTGCGCAAGACACTGCCTGTTTCCCATGCTGCTGCCCCTCTCAGATGACAGTTTTATCCCACACTGGTGTGCTGCGGGTGATAGCCCCCAAGACCTCCTATGCTGCTCACCCAGGGTCCACCCATGCTCAGGCTACCACGCAAACAGGCCCTGTGTGTGGTTGGTGGGAGTGGCGCTGGAGGAAGTTGGAACACATGACACAAGATTCATGAGAGGCCAGGGCACGAACATCTTGGGAGGCCTGGGAACACCAGCTCCCAGCTGGGACTATAGGCTTGACCCCCAGCTCAGCTCCGTGCCCGAACACAGGGCACTCTGGAGGGCTGTGGCTCACTTAATGAACACATAAACCCTGGAGCCAGACTCTGCACTGATGGTGCGATCCTGAACAACAGCTCTATGTATGAGATCTCTAAAGAGCAAGCCACAGAAACCCACGAGCTTTCGGCAGGCCCCGGCGGTCGGCACCGATTCCTTGTTTAACCATTGCTGTGCCTATGGCTGTGCTTTTATGGTAGCTCCCTTTATTCAGTGAGGCGCAGGTGGGGCTGTGGCTGGAAGGCTTGTTTCTTTCTAGGAGATACTGTAGGCCACAGCCCTCTTAGGGAGGGTAAAGCCTTAGCAACCCATAAGACTGACTTACCATAGAAACACACGTTAACAAGGGTCTCGGTAGCTTTGTTGCCACCAGGGACTCCAGGGCACCTGTGCCCTGGCATATCACCACAAAGACCCCCTCACAACCCCCTTTTCCAACCATCTGAAAACGGAGAGTTTATGAACAGCTCTGTGCCCTGCTGTCTTGAGCCCTCAAAGGCACCCCTTTCAGCCCACAAAGCACGTCTACCTCCCTGATAGCACTGCATCCTAGATGTGGTAGGCAGAGTAGGGAATTATGGGTCAACAAGTCTCGAGGTGAATTCGAGTACCCACATAAGGCAGCCATGCACGCACAGGACTGCTAGCCAGTCACGGGTAGGCTGGAGCTCCCACCCAAACGGTTTCCTTACCTGTCCCATTCCAGCCATCTCACCTGCCAGAACCCAGGGACCTGGAAAAGCACTGGCTAGGGAGCTAGAATCCAAGTCCTCTCCCTGAGACTAGCAGGTCTCAGGCACAGACATTTTGTTACTATACCCAGGCAAAGGCCTGGAGGTCTGGCATGGGTGCCTAGCCCAGCATGGAGCTGAAGTCACTAGGTGTCCCAAGGGTAGCCCTGCCCGGGTCATGGGGGCCCAGACCAGTGCCAGACACACAACCCTAGAGACTTAAGGACAGGAAATGCGGAGGAGGAGCCAGGAAGGGAGGAAGGGCAGGAATGCTATCCAGCCAGGCCCTGTGTTGGAACAAACAGTGCCCTAGTGCTAATGACTTCTTGTTATTCATGTCAAAATGCCCAAGTCACCCTAGTTCCTGCCCCAGCTCCCTTTGGTGCCTACAGTCCAGGCTCTAGCGTGAGCTCTGTTACTGTTGGTAGATTTATTTGTATGTGTTTGTGTGTGTGCGTGCATGTGTGTGTTGTGTATGCGTATGCATGTGCTTATAGAAGGTAGAAGAGGGTATTAGAGTCCCTGGAACTAACTGGAGTTACAGGTCATTGTGAGACACTTGACAGGGTTACTTGGGATCAAACTCAGGGTCTCTGCATGATCAGCAGATGCTCTTATCCACAGAGCCATCTCTTCAGTCTCCGGTGGTGGTGATTGTATCTCTTCAGTCTCTCCTTGTTGTTGTTGTTGCCGTTTTGAGGCAAGGTTGCTTGCAGCCCAGGCTGAAGTCACTAAGTAGCTGTAGATAACCTTGAACTTCTGATCTCCTCGCCTCACTTCCTCAGTGCTAGGATATCAAGAACTGCCACTATACAGGCTCCGAGCATGCTAAGCCCGCACTCTACCCACTAAGCGCCATCCCTTAGCCAACCCTTCCTGGAATTATCCTGACCTAGGAGGCCACATGACCAAGCTGGTCACTTCCTGCCCTACCCCAAGGGACGGGCATGGGAGTCTAAGGGCAGTAGCCTGAGAGTGCAACCGTAAGGCATGTGATCTTACTAAAAAAGCTGAAGCCCTCAGAGCCAAAGTTACCAGAGCCCTCAGAGCCTAGGGTCACACAGTTACTCAGAAAGGGGTGATTCAGGTGTCATCTCCATGTGAAGCAGGTGTTTGCATTCTATTTCACAGCCAGAAAAGGGTTGCATAACCCACGCTAACAGGTGGCAAACAGCATTCACACCAGAGCCTGTCTGAGTCCACAGCCCCCGCATAGATAGCTCTACCGTAATCTCTTTTGAGTTCAACCCCTGGACTTCCTCGGGGCAGGTCACAGCCACAGAAACGGCAGAGACATTCTGCCTTCAGGAGCAAGGGACATTCTTGTTAACATAGCCCTTCTGTGCACCTTCAATGCTCTTGTGAATGCGGACCTTGGGGACTTGGGAGAGGACTATGAATGAGCAGTAGTGGGTACCTGTGTGGCCACTGGAGCCAGATGCCTGCGCTCAAATGCTGCTTTCTGCATGGCAGCCAGGGTGCATGTGACCTTATGCTGACTTAAGTTCTCTGTGGACCAACTTCTTGTCCGTGAAGGAGAAACCTATCCCAGAGAGTTATTGTATTATTGAAATAGGCTAATAATCTCAAGGCCATGGAATGGTCCCTGCCTTGCAGCCACCATTCAGCAAAAGTTAATGCAGCAATCCAGCATTCTTCTTCTTCTTTGTACTTTCCTACGAACGTGGATTTCCCGCTACATGCTGTGAATATGTTTTATTACCATTGGTTAATAAAGAAGCTACTTTGGGCCTGTAGCAGGGAAGACTAGAGCGGGGGGGGGGGAGGAACTAAACTGAATACTGAGAGAAAGAAGGCAGAAGAGTCAGAGAGATGTCATGTAGCCACCGAAAGAGACAGATACCAGACAGAACTTTATCTGGTAAGCCACAACCTTGTGGCGCTATACAAAAGTAATAGAAATGGGGGCTGGAGAGATGGCTCAGAGGTTAAGGGCATTGCCTGCTCTACCAAAGGTCCTGAGTTCAATTCCCAGCAACCACATGGTGGCTCACAACCATCTGTAATGGGGCCTGGTGCCCTCTTCTGGCCTGACAGACAGAATATCGTATACCTAATAAATAAATAAATATTAAAAAAAA